GAAGAAGAAGAAGAAGAAGAAGAAGAAGAAGAAGAAGAAGAAGAAGAAGAAGAAGAAGAAGAAGAAGAAGAAGAAGAGCTTTGACTGCTTGGCTGCACCTGCCATCTGGGCTTTTTTGAACCCCTGTGGATGCTTCTGTTGGGAAATCAACTGTGCCTCTGTGGAATGCCCATAATTAGAGATATAGAGAAAGAGAAGGCAGCGCCAGGTGTTTACCTCTGATATAGGAGCAGCTTCATCATCTGCCAAAGGTCACGGATGCAATTCCCTGGCCAACAAGTGAGGTGATAATGAGGCTTCCGGATTTTTGTCACACTTGGAAGAGGTGAACATGGAAAGAGTGAGAGAACAAGGACCTTCTGCTTCTTTGATGGGGTGCTTCAGGCTCGCTATTTGAGGGGCCCTGTTACTCTGCCACATGATTTGGGCTCAGCCCAGTGGCAAAGGGAAGGTGGCACAAGGCTCCACCTAGGAATCTGCTGGTCTCTTCAGGCCTCGTTCTTGGGGGAGGTCCGGCTTGAAGACGTGGCACGAGGCCCATCTCCAGAGCAAGGAAGTGGGGTAGCTGGAGGAGCTGGCTCTGGGGAGCCCCATAGAAGCAACACGCAACTGTTGGTGGGGCTCTAGGGCTTTCCAATCTGCCACCCAAGCTGAAAGGCTCTGTATGCCCCATGGCAGGGTCAACTCTGTTCTGCTGCCTGGTCCGTCCACGATGCTCCACAATGAATGGTGCTCAGTGCTCCTGTTGATGCCCTCATCCATCTCCTCCCATCGTCTAGGCCTCTCTGAGCCCAAGGACATGGCGTATGAACTCAACCGGATCCGAAAGATGGACGCCTCCAGAATGGAGATGGTGGACAAGGCCATCCGGATCCTCTGCAGAAATCCCAGGGGCTTCTTCCTCTTTGCAGAAGATGAGTATCAAAGGACGGGGAGACCTGTCTTCCATCCTGGGAGGGGCAGAATTGAGCCAAGATAGGTCCCAGAAAGCTGCTTGGGGAAGGGCCCCACAACATCTCCCATCTGCAAGAGGGAGCAGTTGAGTCTCCTTCTCATCAAAGAGAGATGTGGGCCTGGATAATACCTCTTGGGCCAAAAGGGGACTAAAATATTCCTCCCCTATAACCAAAGCAGCCTTGCACATAAGAGAACTAGCATCTCAGGGAAAAAGGCTAAGCTGAGACTCTTCTTCTGAGATCCTAGATTTCTACACAGGATGGACTTCTTGGGAGGAGGAGATTCCACCATGCCAAGCTCTCCTCACTCTGCAAGGGCGTCACCTCAGGGTCAACCGGACCAATGTCCTTTTTTACGGAAGGGAACTTTCCTCGGATGGTGTCCTACATTTTCGTTCTTTCCTTCCACAAGGCAGGACTGACCGTGGGCATCACAAGGGCAGAGTGAAGCAAGCTGTGACGGAGGCAGGGATGGTGGACTGTGCAGCTGAGCACGTCGGCAGACTGACCGGTGCCTCTGACACTCTGACTGTAGTTACTGCCGGACATTCGCACGTCTTCACCTTTGGGGGCAACGCGCCACGTGGGAACAGCACTTTTGGTGAGCGGTTGGGAGAGGATGCAGTGACTGGGCCGTCTTTAAGCCATCTTTAGCCACCCAGGTATTGGAGACCCCTCAAGGCAGCAGCTTGATAGGTGGATGGCAGATATGTTGGACTACACCCCCCATCAACCAGTTAAAAACCAGTTAAAAAACTATAATAACAAAAAGACGGGGGAGACTTAACTAATTATACACGTCTATGGCATTGTTGCGCTCGGGCAGTTGGCAGTTGCCAGTGCTATCCTCCTCTGCTCCCACTCCGAACCCCTCTAATGTACCACCCATTCACACATGCCTTCTCACCTAACAGACTCTCCATCTGAAAAAAGCAACGTGAATACCATGTACGTTCCTTTATTTAACCAACTTGCCAAGTTGATTGTGTGGCTTTCATTCAGCCTTAACACAATTCCATTCAGTCAGACTGGCACTAGGACTGACTGGTGTGTGTGTGTGTGTGTGTGTGTGTGTGTGTGTGTGTGGTGTGTTAACAGGACTGGCACCCAAAAAAGCAACAGACGAAGAAGCTTCAGGCACCAGCACCCACTACAGGAATGGGCCGGGCTACAGCCTCGAAAATGGACATTGTCCAGATGGGATTTCAGAAGCATTTGGTGAGACTGTGACCCTCCCGTGATGATGGTTTTATCAGTGTTCCTCCCTTTGCCTTAGGACTGGCCAACTGTTTTGTCCCAAACTACTTTTTTCAATTTTTTTGGCTTCTTAGGGGTAGGGCTATGTGTAGCCAACATTGTGGTTTCAAAGGAATGCTAGCCAGTGGAAGGGGGAAATGAAAGGCCTTAGGGCAGTGTTGTCCAAACTTGGCCACTTTAAGATGAGTGGACTTCAACTCCCCCAATTTCCCCACACCGCCATCCGGCCGGGGGGGGAACGGGGGTGTGCTGCCCCCCCACTTTCAAAAATCGA